TCAGTTAATTCAGTGACAGCCTAAATCATGCCACCTGGAGGACAGCAGTGGTATGACTCACAGCTCCCTATTCAGAGCAAATGGGCTTGTTCACTTTTCTCTGGGTGTTCTCATCACAGCTCAATAAGAATGGGGTTTCCTTAATTGTAAAGATTTAGTCGCCTGCTATCTCATAGCCAATATCATTCTAAGCTAAAATCCAGTCTTTATTTATGAAGCCTATTTAGAATATCTAAATGCGTCATAGCAAAATATGTCAGCACCTACACTTGCAAAAGTTATGTCCTTAAGTGACAATAGCAGCATAAAAGGACAACAGCCGCCCAGCAGGAGTGGCTCAAAAAAGTTTAAGGAATTTGTCAAGGACACGTAGCTAAGAAGAGTCCACACGGAACTCTGCGCTTAGTTCTGTTCTCAAAGCGATGCCTTGTTGTCTAACATTGGATACTATTTGCAAGAAAGGGTTGATGTAAATAGAATTTCACTTAGTTGTGCTAAGGACCAAAATATGGCCGCTGGGCCATGCAACCCGGGTGTTCCTCCCATTTGTAGAGAAGGTCGAGATCGCCTTGAACCTTGTGCACTGAGCTTTTTTATATTTATAACTAGAGTCCCGGTGCATGAATTCATGCATGGGTGGGGTCCCTCAGCCTGGCTGGCAATTGGGGCCCTTTGGGGCAGTCTCACCCAGTCCTGATCGGGGCCAATGGGGGCTGCCTGGCCGGGGAGGGACCATGGGAGGTTGGCCAGCTGAGAGGGACCACAGGAGGGCTCCAGGGAGTGTCTGGGACATCTCGCCCAGTCCCGATCGGCCAGACCCCAGCAGCAAGCTAACCTACTAGTTGGAGCATCTACCCTCTGGTGGTCAGTGTGTGTCTTAGTGACTGGTCGAGCGGTCGACCAAATGGTCAACCAGTCAGCCAGACACTTAGCATATTAGGCTTTTATATATATAGATATGAGTGCCCGGAGCTATTGTACAAAGATAAACATGACGTAGCAACAGCCCTGATGTTATACTTGGTGCTGCTCAGCATTTCAGGCTGACTGCCTGGCTGCCCTGCCGATGTTTTGAGAGCTGATGTCAACCCCTTGTTGATGTCCATTCCGTGGACATAAGATTGAAGTCTAGATCTGCAGGCGCAAAGAGGCAACTGTCTGGTAGCCGGAAGGGGGATCAACAGCTGCAGGGCCACCCACGCACGAGGGCACAGAGCTCAGCTGTCTCCCCATCCCGAGCCTGGCTGGTCCTGACCCCACACAAATTCGGGGTTCCTGCTTTGATGTGTATGAACCGATGGCATTAGAAATACAGGAGAGCCCGGCTGGTGTTGCTCAGTGGTTGAGCATCGACCTAGGAACCAGGAGGTCACCGTTCAATTCCTGGTCAGGGCACATGCCCGGGTTGTGGGCTTGATCCCCAGTGTGGAGTGTGAAGGAGGCAGTCAATTAATGATTCTCTCATTGGTATTTCTCTCTCTCTGCCTTCCTCTCTGAAATCAATCAATCAATATATATATTTAAATGCAGGATGATTCAGGGGTTAGAGAAACTGTCATTTATATGAATGTGGTTAACGCGCATCATTTTAAACTGGCTGCGCTAATAAAGAATAATGCTCTCCGTGCTCTGTTTTCTGTGTTTTCCCCCCAAATCTGCGTCCTCCGTGTGCTCCAGCAAGATGTCGAGTGTGCGCTGGAACCGACCGGATCATCAAGCGCTGCCCGGAAGGTGCTTCGTCCAAAGCAGGGGCATTACATTACGATTCATCACGACTCTGTGTTTTGTTCAGTATCCATCGCTGCTCTAAATACCACCTCGCTCAAACCTCCTCCCTCCTCCCAGTCTGTTCATGGACAGATTAACATCATCAAGTTTCAGATAAGCTCCCCAGGGTGCCTCCTTTTGCTGGGAGAGTGGAGTGGGGGGCGGGCAGGGGGCGGGGGAGGGACTCATGTATTCAGCTGGCCCAAGCTCCGCTCCTGTTTTCCTGGGAAAGGGGTGAGAGGGCCTTTGTAGGCACCGAGTCGCGCTCTCTCCTGTTTTCAAGTTTTGCTCTTGCTGCCAATTTACCTCAAATAGTCTTCGCACTCATAATACCTTCAGGGCTCAACAGCTTCTCCACCTGTCACTAAGTACAGCGTGGACACGAGTATCAGTCACTTTGACCCTAACGGGTGAATTTAAGGAAAGGGCAGGATGAATTTGGCTTCCCTCTGCAAAGTGTTCCCAAATAAAAATGAACATATCAATAGATCACCAAATAGTCATCTGCTCACAAGCCTCATTAAACGAGGACCCTTATTAATGCACAACTTGGATTCCATTAATCCTATATAATAAAAGCCTAATATGCAAATCAACTGAACAGCAGAATGACCGGTGGAACGACCAGTCACTATGACATGCACTGACCACCAGGGGGCAGACACTCAACACAGGAGCTGCCCCCAGCCCGCAGGCCCCAGGCCTGCCAAGGCAGGTGCCAGCGGGCCCCACCCCCAAGATCGCCCCACCGGTCACCCCACAGATCGGCCCTGATCACTGGCCAGGCCTAGGAACCCTACCTGTGCACGAATTTCGTGCATCGGGCCTCTAGTGTATTAATAAAAACCTCTGATAACAAAAACACACACAACACACATAGGGAGAAAAGAAAGGTGTCCAAAGGCTGCAAAAGCATCAACTTATTTATTGGATCTCCTCCTGCCTCTTCTGCAGAAATATTTATGTTCTCTGAAGATTCCTTTACAGCACTTTCTTAGGCCTTTTGATTCCCTTAGTTCCTAAGCAACAGTGTATTTCAGTTTGTCTGTTTCCCTTCACCCTGGGACTTTAGAGCTTCTCGTATTATTATATGTTGAAGTAGGACACCTACACCCTGTAGTCACACGGCTGTATAATTACTCCTCCTGTCCGCCAGGCCGAGCAGGTGGCAGGACTCGTTTGGTTGGGGCCACTGTATTATTAAATATATTCACATGTGCAAAACCATGATTAAAAAGCCCTAAGAGGTTTTCCAGAACCCAGACACTCCCTCTTCACCCACTTGTTGTAAAAGACACAAAATGCTTTGAAGAACTTGGGACTTACCCTCAAATAACCTCTCGGGCTTCCCACTGAGTCACTCCAGGCTGGAAGCACTAAAGGTGAGCCTTTGAGCTGTTCCGTCCCAATGGCTGCCAAGGTGTCCTTTCCAAGTAGAATAATACTTGACCTAAGAGGGATTCGAGGTAAATCCAGGACTGCGACTCCAGGTTAAAGTGCTAAACTGCCAAGATGACTATTATTTCCCCTCGACGACGACGGTATTACCTCTGACTTGGAGATTTCCATGCTGAAGAACAATAATCAATACTAAACAATGCCCCATACTCACCCCCACCACCTAAACCTTCAGATAAGGAAGCAAGATAACTTCTAGTCACTAGTTGCCTGGTTACTATTTTGCATTGTTCCTTGTAAACAAATGAAAATAACTTCTTTATTACTATATTGCTCTAAATAGTCACCAAAGATAACATCCAAGTATTGTTATATTTAGATAAATCGGGGGTGGGGGTGGAAATGCAGTTCTTTCTAATTTCCCCCCTCAAAGAACTCAAGGCCAAGGTAGGAAGAGGAACTAGATGCAGAACTGTTTATCTAATAGATGTCAGAAGGATTTAGATACTTCGGGTAGAGGTTTGTAAACCACTCACCTAAAGGTACAGTTTCTAAAATCACATGCTCATTCTTAGATTCAGATTCATGTATGGTGGCATTTTGCTTAAATGTTTTCTTTATAGCCTCTAACATGATGTTGTTGTTTTTTCATAGTGGCAACTCAATTTTTTTTTGGAATAAAATAAATTCTGAAAGAAAATCTGCAAATATTCTTTTCCTTACCTTCAGTTTGAAAATCTTGTTCAAGTGTTTTCTAAATTAACCTAAGCACTATACAATGAGTACATTCAAAAACAACGTTTTAATAATGAGAAGTTATTTATCAGTTTTACTCAGAATTTTTGCAAAGGTTCAGTATGATGCAGAAAGAGTAATAAAAAATAAAGCGTAATTTTTAATTCTGGCTGACATGGCAATGTCTGCTTTGGATTTATTTATTTATTTATTTATTTATTTTCCCCCCAAATCACCTATGTGTTAGGTTATATGGAACTGAATATTCACCTGCGTTAAGTTACAAGGCGATATTTAGCCCACCTCTGCTACTACTGAAGAATATTTGCTCACATTTATTTATATTGCACTGACAAATGGCAGTCCTATCATTTAATAAGGCACTCAAGCTCAAAAGCTGGAACAAATACAAAAATGCATTTGAGCTTTGCTGGTTTAGTCACCTGATATCCTAGGTGTACACCTTCCTTTATGATAACAAATGCCAGGCCGTGGACTAATTTAACTCCAGTTATGCAATGCCTGCCACACTCACTGGGCTGAAGAATATAAACATCCCTTCTCTAGCAGAGTTTTGGGGAGGGTTCTCCTTTGGTGTTTAACAGAGCAAGTGTGTGCATGGGTAGCAGGAGGGACCCATCTGTATTAAGCAAGATGGACAAAGAGAGCCTTTTTTAAGAGGGAAGAGATCACATTTATTGAACAATTCCCCTACAGATTTAGATCTCAGGCCCAGTTTCACAGATATTTTGGAACAACACTACAGTCTTACTTTGCATTCTCCTTTTACTTAACAGACCCCTTGTTAGCTATGACCTCACTGGTCATCCAACCAAGAGAGAGAATTTCAGACAGACTCACAGTCTGTCTGTCTGTCTGTCTGTCTGTCTCTCTCTCTCTCTCTCACACACACACACACACACACACACACACGCACGCACGCACTGAACGTGTCACATGTGCTTCCTAAGAAATGACACGAGAGCAAAGATAGCCCACACTTAAAATAAATCTTAAGGCATTATTTATGTACATTCCAGCACATAAAAGTAATAGAAAAGTATAGATTTGACATGTTTCTTATATATTTGCCAGAATATCTTAAAAAAATAAAAGCATCACCCCAAATCAGAAATACTATAATTTAAAACTTTACTGCCTACGTTTTCTCAATAGGTCACCAAAACAAACACCAACCTTCCCCCCACAAACTATAAATGCACAGATCTGTAGGTGGAGAACATTAACGTTGAGTTCATTTTCATGATGAAGAACACTGCATTTCCGGAAACGCTGGTAGTACAATACCTGCGACAAGACGCCAAAACCCAAGACCAACTTGTAAACCAGTGATGGGCAAAATGAGCCTCTCACCGGACAAGTCGAAACATTTCTTTTCACAAATGTTTTGAGGGACATTTCTTTTTACAAATGCTTAAACTTATACACAGTTCGAACATGTAACTTTAACAAAGCTTATGTGACAAGTGCAAGTCTTCTGGCTTTCTCAGGCATCCTGATGGCCCGCCAGCTTTCGGAGCGAGAAGTGTTTCTCTAGGAAGAATAGAGCGATGTCGCGGTGCCTCCTGCACGTCCACTATGTGTCGGAGTCGCTCCCCCCGCCCGGGATGCTGCCGTCCGGCCCGTCACTCTCTTTGTCCCAGTCCTTCATGGACGCTCCCATCATAAAGTCGTCTCGAAGGATGCTCCATCCTGGGCCCTCTTCTCTCACTTCCGTCTGAGGACAATCACAGAAACACAATATTCAAAAACCAATTTAATTGCAGAGAGACTGAGAGAGTCCATGTCACAAAGCACACTTCTCAGCAACAGGAGTGAAATCAAGACAAAGCATAGAGTGGCCTTATTCTTACATTGTAATCATATATGTACAAATAGCTAATAGAACTATCTGCTAGTAAAATATTTTAACCCCATAAAAGAATCATGGAAGCAAACTTTTTTTTTTTTTTTTTTTGCAATAGGGAGAATATGTAATAAGATCTAGGTTTGGTATCAAAAATTTTTTAATTTATCTTTACTGTTGAAAGTATTGCAGATGTGCCCCCTCCCCTGAGCCCCTTCCCTCTGCACCCACCCCTCCCAAGCCTTTACCACATTACTGTCTGTGTCCATGCTATGCATATATGCATTTAAGTTCCCCAGTTAATCTCTCCCACTCACCTCGCTACCCCACCTTCCCTCTCAGATTCCTCAGTCTGTTCCATGCTTTTATGTCTCTGGATCTAGTTTGTTCATTAGATCCCATATATGAGTGCGATCATGTGATACGTGTCTTTCACTGACTGGCTTATTTCACTTAGCATAATACTCTCCAAGTCCCTCCACGCTGTCTCAAAGGGTAAGAGATCCTTCTTTTTAACTGCCACATTGTATTCCTTGGTCTAAATGTACCACAAATATTTTATCCATTCATCTACTGATGGGCACTTGGGCTGTTTCCAGATCTTAGCTATTGTAAATTGCGCTGCTAGAAACATATGGGTGCATACATTCTTTCTGATTGGTGTTTCAGGTTTCTTGGAATATATTCCTAGAAGTGGGATCACTGGGTCAAATGGGAGTTCCATTTCCAGCTTTTTGAGGAAACGCCATACTGTCTTCCACAGTGGCTGCACCAGTCTGCATTCCCACCAGCAGTGCACTAGGGTTCCTTTTTCTCCACATCCTCGCCAGCACTTGTCATGTGTTGATTTGTTGATGGTGGCCATTCTTACAGGTGTAGGTGAAACCTCATTGTTGTTTTAATTTGCATCTCTCTGATGATTAGTGACTGAACATTTTTTCATATGTCTCTTGGCCTTCTGTATGTCCACTTTAGAGAAGTGTCTATTTAGGTCCATAAAAGTCATCTCAAAACTGTCATTATTCACAGATAACATGATATTGAACATAGAAAACCCTAAAGACGCTACC